ATGGAATACAACGGCAAATTCTTGTACCTGGCCAGGGTCTTTTACTTTGTACTTCTAGTTTTTTGGTGTAAAATCCTTAATACATCTGAGATGGATACTAAAAACTGATTTTGATGGCCTTTTCTTCTTTCTTTTTTCTTTTGTGATCCATTCAGGCAAATAATGCATATATTTTCCCTGGATTTGGTTTAGGTTTGGTCATCTCTGGTGCAATTTGTGTACATGATAAAATGCTTCTGGCAGCCTGTAAGTACACTACATATAACATAATTAGATATATTATAAGCTGAATACAATTTACTTGCTAATTGAAGAGAAAGGAATTCTTTCCTTTATTTTATTTCATTTTACTTTGCTTTATTTTTTTTTTCCATTTCCTTTGGTCACATATCTATATAGGGCATCAATAATGAATAAACTCTTAGAAAAAGTTTTGAGATGTTTACTCAGATTCCAATAGAATGTAAACTAAATGACACCTTGTGTTTGTTTTATTCCCTTGATGTGTGATCTGGTTTTGTTAGGGCGATTTGGCTCAATGGTAAGGCTTGCCATTAGCATCCCTAGTAGCACAGGTTTGAGTCATAGACATAGTCTCTTCAAAAATGAAAGAAAGACTATGTACATCTTATCCTCTCTAGATCCCTGTTTTAGCAGAAGCTTCATACACTAGGCCGCCCATAATCATGTGCGAAACACAATGGAAAACATTTGGGAAAACCTATTTAATTGAAGTTACTTCTATGCAAACGGGCACGACAAGCTTCTGGCAGCCTGTAAGTGCACTACATATTACATAATTAGATACATTATAAGTTGAATACAATTTACTTGCTAATTGAAGAGCAAGGAATTCATTCCTTTAACTTATTTCATTTTACCTATGCTTTATTATTTTTTTCCCTTTCCCTTGGTCACATAGCTAAACAAGTCATAAATAATGAATCGACACTCTTTAGAAAAAGTTCTAAGATGTTTACTCAGATTCCAATAGAATGTAAACTCAAAAAACACCTTGTGTTTGTTTTATTCCCTTGATGTGTGATCTGGTTTTGTAAGGGCGATTTGCCATTAGCGTCCCTGGTGGCGCAGGTTCAAGTCATTGAAACAGTCTCTGTACATCTTGCCCTCTCTAGATATCCTTTTAACATAAGTTTTTTACACTGGGTTGCCCATAATCATGTGTGAAGCACTACGGAAAACTTTTGGTGAAACCTATTAAATTGCAATTCTAGGCGATACGCACGACAAATAGATAGAATGGTTAACCTTTGTATCTAAATCATCTACTTTCCTTTGTAACAGAAGAGGCTTTGGCTGAGCAAGTAACAAAAGAGAATTTGGGCAAGGGTTTGATCTATTCACCATTCTCTAATATCAAAAAGATCTCTGGCCACATTGCTGCTAATGTGGCTGCTAAAGCATATGAACTTGGTGAGTAAGTGTACCTTTGGTTGCTTCATGTGTCTTACCTCCGCTGTAATTGCCCCTTGAAGCATGTTTATTTTTATGACTTTCACAATGTTTCCTAGGGTTGGCAACGCATCTCCCTCGGCCTGATATTCTAGTGAAGTACGCTGAAAGCTGCATGTATACTCCCAATTACAGAAGCTTCCGATGAATTGTTGAATTGTGAGCAGAAACTATGGCTAGTAGTTAATGTAGTGTGTTTCTTCAGAGTCTTATATATTCTTGTTTGGCGTCTCTCCTTTTCCCTCTACATTCCAATCATGGTGTTTCGGTTTTTGTGGTGTTGTAACCTTTAGAGTTTATATTAGAACAATGACAGTAAGAGTCGGGTTGGATGAAAGGTTAGTTTTAGTTTAAACATTGTCAACTTCAGTCTCTACTTGCTACTCACTACCAGTTTAGTAGTCTCTATGAAGTCACAAAAGCTGTGGAAATATGGAGAAATTCAAACTGACCTGTGAAGCATCCGATGCGGTGGTACTTGTAGAATCAACCACTTGCCTCAATTGAGGATTTGGAATGCCAAGCTTGTCATTCTCAAGATGTAATACTAACTTTTGATGCTAAGCTTCACTTGAATTGTATCATAGAGAGAGTTCAAAATAGAAGGATATGAGAGAGCGACAGAGCTGGACAAAAGATTTTCAGCCTAACTGCCTTCTGTGTAATTGTAATAGAATACAGTGTTTTTTAATAAATCAATCCCCGTGTTCTTTGGCCCAAAGGTAAATTGTATCTTCCCCCATTGACCTATTTCCCTTAGTTGTTAGTTCTTAGTGGCTAGTGTGGCAAATGAGTTGCGCTGAGCTCGTTTGTCTATCAAGCTCAAAAAAGAAAAGTTTGAGTTGAGCTTGAATATTTATAGTAATTAATGCTTGAGCTCAGCTCAGTTCCTTAATATTAATTATATTCAAGTTTGGTTTGAAACTTAATAATGAAGAAAAATGATAAAGTTTGGTTTGAAACTCAATAATGAACGATTTTGGTTTGAAACTCAATAATGAACGATTTTGGTTTGAAACTTAATAATGAAGTTATGCTCGAGTTTGGTTTGAAACTCAATAATGAAGAAAAGAATTGACTTGAATCTTGAGTGATTCATTTATAAAGCGAGCTCAAAAGATTGGTTTGACATTGTTTATGTATGTAATAAACTGAGCAGAGTTGAACTCTTATTGAATTTGTTAAACAAGCCTAAAAATTTAATTTGAACTCGCTTATATATGTAACAAGTAGAGTTGAGCTCTTACTGGGTTTATTAAACAAGCCTAAAAATTTAATTTGAACTTGCTTATATATGTAACAAACAGAGCAAGGTTGAACTTTTTTTCATAGTGTCACACCACGTTAACAACACAAGAGGGGGGGAAATTAAGTTGGTAAATATAACTTAAAATAAAATAATTCAATAAAATTAACTTGCTCAAGCAAAATAAAAGAATGAACATATAAAATATGAGCAATAATGTGTGTGAGCAAATCAAGTCAAAGCACAACAGAGCAGCAATTATAAATATAAAGGAGAGATAGAGAGAGAAGGCAAACACAAGATTTATAATGGTTGGTTTCCATCCAAGTTTACATCCACTTCTCAAGGCTCCCCCTCGAGTATTTTCACTATTTATCTAATAGATTTTCACCAGAAAGTTTACCGGATACTTGCAAGACTTTTACAACAATAATTTTGTTCCAAAAATCCCAAAAAACAAACTCACCAAAACAGCCCATTTTTTGGTGTTATCAAATCTCTCAAGTGTTTCTCTCTCAAAGACTCATAATGAAGCTCATGGGTATAACAACCATTTATAGATGATTTGTAGATAATAAAAAAATGCGTAAAGCATTTTGTACCATAAAACTCCTAAAGAGTTGGATTCAAACAATTAAAGCTCATAGAGATGAAATGAAAGTTATAGTATAAAATTATTGTATTTTCTCCTCTTTTGGAGATTATCCTCTCTGTCACTTGTAGATGAATGTAGATTTTCTATTTATAATCCCTCATCTTCATTTGACCATTGGAGAGCAAATATAGCCATTGGAATAGGAGAAATAGCAGTTGGACAGATTCAAAACACTCAAAATAAGAATATGGTGAGCCCAAATGAGACAACTAGGAATGGCAACGGGGCGGGGCGGGGCCGGGGATCACCCTCCCGCCTAAAAATTTAATTTGAACTCGCTTATATATGTAACAAGTAGAGTTGAGCTCTTACTGGGTTTATTAAACAAGCCTAAAAATTTAATTTGAACTTGCTTATATATGTAACAAACAGAGCAAGGTTGAACTTTTTTTCATAGTGTCACACCACGTTGACAACACAAGAGGGGGGGAAATTAAGTTGGTAAATATAACTTAAAATAAAATAATTCAATAAAATTAACTTGCTCAAGTAAAATAAAAGAATGAACATATAAAATATGAGCAATAATGTGTGTGAGCAAATCAAGTCAAAGCACAACAGAGCAGCAATTATAAATATAAAGGAGAGATAGAGAGAGACGGCAAACACAAGATTTATAGTGGTTCGGTTTCCATCCTAGTTTACATCCACTCCTCAAAGCTCCCCCTCGAGTATTTTCACTATTCATCTAATAGATTTTCACCAGCAAGTTTACCGGATACTTGCAAGACTTCTACAACAATAATTTTGCTCCAAAAATCCCAAAAAACAAACTCACCAAAACAGCCCACTTTTTGGTGTTATCAAATCTCTCAAGTGTTTCTCTCTCAAACACTCGTAATGAAGCTCATGGGTATAACAACCATTTATAGATGATTTGTAGATAAAAAAAAATGCGTAAAGCATTTTGTACGATAAAACTCCTAAAGAGTTGGATTTAAACAATTAAAGCTCATAGAGATGAAATGAAAGTTACAGTATAAAATTATTGTATTTTCTCCTCTTTTGGAGATTATCCTCTCTCACTTGTAGATGAATGTAGATTTTCTATTTATAATCCCTCATCTTCATTTGACCATTGGAGAGCAAATATAGCCATTGGAATAGGAGAAATAGCAGTTGGATAGATTCAAGACACACTCAAAATAAGAATATGGTGAGCCCAAATGAGACAACGATGTGGTCCAATTCACATGAAGATAAGTCATAGCTGAATGAAAATTACACGAATAACCTATAAAACACATGATGGGATACATAGTCACTTTAATTTTTTTTTAAAGTGAACTGTTTTCAAAAAAAATTTACAAAAATCATTTCCAATAATAAATAATTTGCAAAAATATTTACTTTGCATTTTCCAGAAAATGAAAATAAAAATTAAAAACAAAAACATTACCAAACAGTAGTACAACTTGTGGCAATTACAACCATTAATCAAATGTCAAATGAATGGAACATATATATTAACCAAATATAGGTCCATAGTGAAAACTTATTTTCTCCACAATGCACAACATAACCTAATTATTTGCTTTGTGAACTCTTTCAAATGTAAATGTAGCATACAAAATAAAAATCCTGCAATTGATCAAATAATGTAGAAATAAAATATATAAAAAAAAGTTTAAATTTTAATAAATATTTCGCATATTCTCATATATGTTTTACATATATATCAACATTACATTTGCAACCAAAAAAAGATTACATGATATTTCTCCAATATTCAACTAAGAGAACCTGTTTCCATACAAACTATAGCAGAAAGGAGCTAACCTCTGTGTTCTACACTTGAAACAAAAATCCCAGTAATATTGACAACAGAGTTTGGTGAATCATTTTGCGTATGACTCGAGAGCAGCATGAGTATCCTTGTACCGCTGGAGCATGTAAGTTTCACATTTGATAGGAGGAAACCTGGTGGAAAAGAAGCAGTAAAAAATAGAGAAACTTCACGAAAACAAAGAAGTCAAGCATATCCTTTATGCATTTTTATTAATGCAAAAAGGTTTTAAATTTTAATTAGAAACCAACTCAGTTATCCAGGGAGCCTTTAAATGCATCCCAAAGATATTGTTAGACATCCCAAATTTGGTATTTTTTTTCAAATTTCACTTTATCCTTATCGTTTGAGGCCAGATCACTTTACCCACATGTGATTTAAATATAGGCATATTTGCCCCATTATGGTTTGGACTAAATTGCAATCTAACATCCGTTAACATTAATCCTCTTTATCTCTGGTATTATACACTTAAATCTTAAATTAATCACAAATTTTATTAATTAAACCATCTATATTTGAATCACGGATAGGTAAAGTGCCCCAAACTCAAAGCACAAGGAGTAAAAGTGAATTTTTCCCCCTTTTTAATACCATTTGACCTCTATGTCAAATTACAAAAAAAAGACAACCCTAAACCAGCTCCGGCTAGACCCTCCCGCGTCCCCCAGCCCCCTACCCACCCTCGGTACCACCTTGAAGGCTCATCTACTCCATCTCCTCTTTCCTCCCCCCACTTAAGCAACTCCCCCATGGCTCCCCCCTCTGTTGCCCACCTCCTACCCATTTTCTCTATCTCTCCCTTGGCGATGGTGGGTGATGTGGTTTGGATTAGGGTTTGAGAAAAAGGTCAGGGGAGGGCTGTGGGGTGTTGCAGAGAGGTGGGGGGCATCAAGAAGAAAGGAGAGGGTGGCATTGGGGAGCACGAGGAGCGGGCAGCAGGCGGTGGGGAGAGAAAGGGAGGGAAAGGAAGGGGTGGTGGAGGTGGCACTGGTGCGCTGGGTGGCTCGCCGATAGGTTGGACGGGTGCGGGTACGGTGGGAATTAATTGGGGTGTTCAAAGAAAATCAACAAAATTTAAATTCGATAATGGGGTGTCCAAAGGAAGGGGGATCCAACCATTGTTTTGGAGTACAATTAGAGGTTCCCACTTGTCCACATATGTTGCACGTAATTATGACGTCAATGGTCCTCACGTCATTGTGTGGGTGATAATTAATTTGTGATCATGCGTACTCAGATCAGTTGCAGTTATCGATGGTTAATGTGTGTTCATACTTAGATCAATGCAGGTATGAACAGTTTATCCGTGTTCAATTGATACTTACTTGGGAGGGTTCTCTTGCGACTGGCAGGTGGGCAAGCATTCAACAAGACAATCGTGATTAGGCTCCACAAAGTATGCAATCTGCTCAATGAAAAAATAATAATAATAAATAAATATAAATAAATCGAATAAAATGAAAGCAAAAAAACAAAAAGGGCCATTGTGTATGTTAGACGATAATATTGCATAAGAAGGCAAACTTTTCATTATCAACATCCCTTGTAGGCTATGCAATTAGACAACATTCAAAAGCTTCTAAAGGGGCCTTACAGAATATCTCTCCTGACCATTACCCAGCACTCGATGCAACGTGGACCTGGATAAAATTAAGCAAGTGAACACAGATACCCAAGTACCATAAAATTATAATCCCAACACTTAAAGTGAATTGTTTTCAGAAAATTTTCACAAAAATCATTTCCAGTAATAAATAATTTGCAAAAATATTTATTTTGCATTTTCCATGTGACAAAATAAAAACTTTTCACACATACATAATAACTCACACATCGTCTGATAATCAATTTATACATGTCCAGGATCATTCAAAAACTGTCTTAACAAAAACCCAGGGTTATATACAACTTGGCCACACTTGACCACAAAAGAAAACAAAAAGGAAAATCAAAAGCCTCATACGTGAGGCAACCTTGGCTGAGTTCAAGAACTTGGTACTCTTTCACAATTTCATTAGGGCTGGAGCTAGACATCCCGTTGCTTACTTATATACATACAGATAAAGAGTGAGTTAACGCCCAGTGAATAATACCAGAGTAAAGATGTCAATGAATGAGATTCGTGTATAAATAAATCATACTTGTACTTAATTCACATGAAACCCAATTCTTATTCATAACAGACTTAAACACATCATCACAAAACGACCTTGGGTCCAATCAATTATAATCGAAATGACCTTCGGTCCAACATATTCATACGCATGTTGATAATCATGATCATGTTCACTTTCCTATTCATATTCAAAATGACCTTTGGTCCACCCAATTCCTTGTTTGAAATGACCTTTGGTCCATGTAGCAAACATATGAAACGACCTTAGGTCTAATTCATATATAAGATGACCTTAGGTCTATCTTGTCAAACATTCTAAACAGCCTCAGGCCTGTGTCTTTATCAAACATACCAAACGGCCTTAGGCCCATTTCATATTCTCATCAAACATACCAAATGACCTTGGGCCCATTCTGTATTCGTACAAAATGACCTTCGGTCTAATCTTATAGGTTCATGCATATCAATCACTTTTTCAAGCTATTTAAGAATCAAGCAAGTAGAATACTCAAAGGAGAACAACTCCCAATAGAACAACTATCTGGATTGGTTTTATACATGTCCCAATTTAACAATGGTGTTTAGAAATATACCTCAGTGGCTAAAACAATTCATTCAACCTAATTCTTTGTTATTATTCCTCAAGTTATGCAGCATATTTTATGCTAATTTGCATCACCAAAAATGTATCAAAATATAAAAGACCTTAAGTGATTGGGAAAACATGTAAGAATTGAAGTTAAAAATTCTGGACAATATAGATTAAAAAGCAATACATGCCATGTTTTCATAATGAAAATATTTATAAATATGAATCTTCATGGTCTTAGAATATTATTATCATCCATCACCATAAAATTTTCATGGCAAGGGATGAGCTCGTATAATTACAACAGACAAACTCGTCAACCAAGCTTTGCAAGACCCACCAAACTGTGCCATCAAGACCAGATGGGATAAAGGTGTGAGTTCTCTCCTGCAGTTCTTCGGTCTATGCTCTTAGCTCACATCCCTAAGCCTTTCTTTAGTATATATAGAACTTCCAATATTTGATATGAAGTTATCCTTCCCATAATGTGATATTTTCCAAGATTTATTAGTCTAATGCAATACTTTTAAATTGACAATAGGGAATTCATACTAGATAACAACGAGAAATAATATGATGCAGCATTTCTGCTTAGACACCAAAACAAGACAAGATAATTCTATTTGCTACATGGAGAGTTATAATGTTTGATACAAAGCAGCAAATACATCTGCCAGTAGTATATGAAGTTCATTACAAAAAGATTAAACTTGAACAAAACTTACAGTGCCTCTCTATGATATTTCTCCATAGTTTCCCTCCATCCAGGCAAGACATCTTTCAAACGGCCAAAAGAAAAAAGGGGTTAATACTGATTACAAAACCAATACCACAAAGAATGCTCAAATGCTTAAATCACATCAAGTTGAATTAAGCTCTGATGTGTGTGTGTGTGTGCGCGCGTGTGTGTGTGTGTTTGGGAGAGAGAGAGAGAGAGATGATTGGGACATGGCATGAACTACTCATACTTCGCACTTTCTTAAGACTTGAATGGATTTTGTAGCTTACCAGAAGGGGGCCAGACATTTGGTCCGTATAATGGCTTTTCTATGTCAGGATCATTTTCAGGTACTTCTATTCCAATCACAAATCCCTCCTTATAATCTCCTATATCCGTAAAATAGGATAATCAATATTTTTCTTTTTTATGCAACAAGGATCTCTCTATTATAATTAGTTTAAATTTAAACAACAATAAATCAAGAAAAATGGATCAACTGGAAGAAGAAAAGAATGGAACAATATAAAAAATAAAACAATGTGGGTGGCATCTCAAAGTAGGAAGGAAACAATATAATTATGTAAACAAGAACATATATGAATGCATATAGGCTCAAGTTTGTTCGAGGCCTAAGGCATAAAAAACATAAATGAAGCCTTTTTAAGATCTTCATTTGAAATATATTTTTCTTTTCTTTTCAAATGCAAAATTACAAATTACATTCAAGTGTTCTAACATATCATTTGTAATTGATATTGTGGGTAGTTCACTTATTGTTTCTTTTCTTTTCAAATGCAAAATTACAAATTATTGTTTCTTATATATTTTTTTTTTCTTATGATTAATGTGTGTTTGGAAGGGGAAATTTTATAATCATGGATGCATTAGAAATTTTAGTTTTCTTTAATTATTCAATATATCAATTGAAGTGCTCCCTTCAGCTTGCAAAACTTAATTTAAAACTTTCAATTCCCAAAACAAATTTAAACATTGATATCATCTTGTACAAAAATTCCAAATGCAAATTTAAGACAACTATCCCTACTTTTTCAACAGTTAGTGTGATTGCAAATTTATATTTATCATATTAAACTATATAAAAGTGAGGCCTCTTACTATGTGGGGATGTTAGGCGAAAGTCTAATTTTCCTAGCACTCAAGCCACTTCTTGACACGCATGATCGTACAAGCACAATATATACATATATATACACATACATGTCATGCACATACCAAGCTATACAATTGATGTCAACTTGTATTAAAAAAAACATCATATTGATCTGATATTCACTTTTCTGCTTATTGCTAAAAAGTAGTATGACACTAGAAAAATGATAGCAGAACAAACCATGTATTTGATTGCCAGGATCCAAACTTTGATTGAAAAGGGGAGTGTACCCTCGATGTTTCTTGTTTCTAAGAACCTTCATTTTCTCACTTACTGGTAGATCAAAAAAACTTTTGCTTTGGTAAAAAACCTCATCCATAAATTCCTGGCTGATTCCATGATTGATCACATAGAAAAACCCAGAATCCAAACATGCCTGTAGAAAAGAGAGGAAGCAAAGGATAAGCCAGGATATAAAAACCAATTAACAAAAAACGGTGTGTGTGTAAAAGAGAGATTAAAATAAAACAATAGGGTACTTTAGTTCAATGACTGACTCATACAAAGAAATGGTAACACAATTGAGCAACTAAATACTAACTAACCTAATGGCATTGGCTATTTTTATGGTTCAAAAAAAAAATAAAATAAAATAAAACTAATAATGACATTGCAGTCAAAAGCTCTTGATCATCCACATTTCACTGTACAGAAAATTGACTAATTTTTGTAAATGTTAAGTTTAAAAGAGAAGCATAAAAAATGACATTTTATCCTAAATTCAATTCATAAATGGGATTTCAATATTTGATTCAATAGGTTGTTCACAGTACTATTTGGGTTGGTTAAAATAAGTTTTCTATTTTTTCCATAGTTCAAAACCTATGAAACTTCAGAAATTTTACTTTGCTTTCCCATAATCCAAACAAATAGTGGCATAAGAATCAATTACAGTTTATACCCCTACACTTGACATTCAATCTCACTTTCCCCTTGACCTTTTAATTGTTCCGGTCAATCCCTAGACTTTGAATCAAGTTATAATTTGGCCCCACATATACAAGCGGCATTTCAAAACGAGCAGAGAACAATCACAAAAATATTCATTACACTTAGCACCTTATATTTTTACCGCAATCTCACTTTAGTCCTTCCGCTCTAGCTCTTATGATCCAAGTACGTTACTAAAATCTCACACTTTTAGATCATCAATTTGGATAGAGATTTCAAAAAAAAAAAAAACAAAAAACAAAAAAGAGTGAAATATAAATGAAATATAGTTATATTTTCACCAACCATTTCGATTTCTAGATCTCTATCCAAATCTATAATCCAAACCCATCCAAGTTCATTTTTGTGTTAATTTTTCAAATGCTATTATAAGATTGAGCCTAATTGCAACATGACTCAAAATAGAGTAGTTGAGTGAGATAATTAAAAGTTGAACGGATCAAATGAGATTGAAGGTAAACTATAAGATGCAACCTTATATTTTTACCACAATCTCACTTTAGTCCTTCTATGCTAGCCTTATCATCTATAATATACTTCTACTAAAATCTCAGTTTGTAGGTAAAGTATAGGATGCAAAAGTGTAAATTTGCCAATAAGATCCCAAGTTGAGCACCGCTTATAATCTGATCGTGCTTAAAGCACCAAACATCAACAATCGGACATGTTATTGGTTGGTTGTATTGTGTGGATTGTGATTGATCACATGACGCTACACACCAACTAATAATTTTCCGATCCGTATATAATCAATCAATCAAAAAAACCAGATATATGAGAGACAGAGAGAGAGAGTGTGTGTGTGTACCTGTTTGAGTAAAGAAACAGAGTTAAGAATGTCTGGGCTTGAAAGATCGATACAATTGAGTGCAGAGAAGTTTTCAAAATCTCGCGGAGCTTCAAGAGCTTCGTTCGTCAAATTCTCCATTTCTGATAATGAGGTTCTATTCACCTTCACCCAAACAAAGACATACGAGGTTCCGACACCCAAAAAGATATGAGGTTCTATTCAGCTTCACCCAAAAAAGATATGAGGTTCCCATATTTCTTTACCGATAAAGATATTATCAATTAATTAAGGGCAAATTACACTCATACCCCTCTGTTTTCTTGCAATATCACTGCCACCCCCTTTAATAATTGAGATACCAATGCACTCATACATTTGAAAATAATGTAACAAAACAAAACAAAAAGAAAATAAAATAAAAGAAAAAAAACAAAAACAAAACAAAACAATTTCTGTATCATGGTTATGGTTATTTGTTTACATAATTTCTGTATTTTAGCTTCTGTTAATTAAATAATTTGTTTATTCAAATTAAGTTATGTTAAAGTTTTATCTTAAATAACTATTTATGGTTATTTTGTATTCCCTGTAATCTTAGCATAATATTTTCCACTCTGTTGTGTGCTTATAGCTGTTACCCCTTTTAAGTGGTGAGATGTAAAGAAGAACTGTAACATCGTATTGTGCGACCCGCATGGAAATTGGATGCTGACACAAGCAATTAGAGATCCAAATTATTTTTCTTTTACAAAATATCTCATATGGCTATGGAACCACATAATATGAGTCTCATACTTATATAAGACATTTGATAAAACTTTTAAGGTCTCTAACATTTTTCTTTAGTACACACCACAGCATACATTTTTCATTATCATCCAAATTGAAATTTTTTATAATTTAAGGTTTTTTTTCTTTTCTTTTCTTTTCTTTTTTTTTTTTTTGGAAATCCCCATTGAAATTTCTTAGGGTTTAGGGTTCTTATTTATTATTAGAAATCTCTATTAAAATTTCTTAGAGTTTAGGGTTTTGAATTTTGATTTTTAGAATGAGTTTTCAAAAACCCTAAATCAAGCAAGCAAGTTTTGGATTTTGAGTTTTGAAAATTTGATTTGAAAATTGAACCAAACACACCCTCACCTTTTCGTTGGTGTGTTCATGAATGCTAGATGGATTCATGCTTTACTTGGTTGCAACTTTACTTTTTTGAATGTCAAATTTTGAAGTCAAAAACTTCAAAGAGGTATCATGTTAGGGCATCTCCAACGGTACATCAAATATTTCATCAAATTTGAGTAAAAAAAAAAGCACGAATCCCTCTATCTGATATCAGTCACTCCAACGGTGAATTTGTAATTGTCATCAAAACACAGGTCGTCCGGGGGGTCGACCGGTAAGAGCAAATAATAAAAAAAAAATATGCTCTGTGTTCCATACATTATTTGATATTTCGATAATAGATCAAGAATATAATAGATCAAATAAGAATCCCCAATGGCCATGTTTGTTTAGGCAGACTGGATTAGCATTCCCATGACTAATAATCTTGGGATTACGAATAGAATCCCCAATGTGTTGAAACCATGAAATGGTCAATTTTGAAGGTTAGGGACCTGAAATTCGATGATCAAAAGCTAAAATTTCAGTTCTTTTAGAAATAGGTATCCAATGATTTGATATGGGTAAAAAAATACAAAATGTCACACAAAAAGAAAAAAGAAAAAAAAAACCACATTTGTGAATGGGTCAGTGAATTCTCCAAATCTGATCAACCAAATCAAAATTCTGAAGCTTTTCACAAATGAGTTATTGAAAAAGTTGAAAATTTATAGACAACAACACATCAGAGAGAAAGAGAAAGTACAAAAGGAAAACACAAAAGAATAAAACTGAAAAAAGAAAGCACAAACACAAAGAAAGACAAAAACAAAGCACAAAACGCGGATCTTTATGCGGCTAGTTGAGTAGAGAAAGACGAGGAAGGAGAAAGAGGATGGGTTGAGAAAATGGGGATTTGGCCTCAAAAACAACAAAAGTTATTATGAGGAATAGAATGGCTTGTGTTGAAGATAAAAATGGCAGATAAGAAATAATAAGATTAAAGATTGGAATGAAAATCCCTTGATTTTTGGGTTATCAATGCTTGAATTGGATGAATGAAGAAGTGGGATGGGTCCAAAATCGGAGAGAGAGAGAGAGAGAGTATGCAAAGAACGATGAGAAGACAGAGACAGATTTGCTTCGGAAACAAACAACTTTGCAAGCCAATTCGCAGTTGTTAGCACCATAAATCTACAATTTTATTATTTATTATTTATATAATTGCAGGACATGTGGCACCCTCTACTCATTTGGAGGTTATGAGAAGTTATGAAATTTGAAAAGGTGATGGAGATCATGGAGCATGAAGTGAAGGTTAAAGGAAGTTATGAAAGATCATGGAAGATCATGGAGTATGAAATAGAGAAGGTGGAAGAGTGGGTAGTTTTAGGTAGTTTTATCCTACAAATGTTTGCCTATAAATAGTCATTCATGGCTACATTGTAAAGGGACCAACTCAAATCAAAGACAATTGATTTCTATTTTTCTTGTCATTTTCCTTATCTTAGAAGTAGTTTAACATTGATTTTATATTTCATGCATTTTATTTTATGCACTTCCTTTTCAAAGCATAGGAGTAGAAGTAATTAATAGTTACTTTGGTTGTTCACTCAATCACCTCGATTGTTAACTCAATCATTTTTTTCTGTTTCCCTCATTCTTCTTTTAATTTTTCTTTTCTCTACACTTGGTAATTTTGAAGTCCTTTTCGTTAAGGCAAAAGATCCGTCAACACAATCGCTTGATAATTGGCTTGAATTTAATTTGTAAGGATTTTTCAATCCTTACTGGTACGCTCACATTTATGATATTTTCCTTCGTAAGAAAAATAAGCCAACAATTTTTGACATGCCCAGTGGGACATCAGGTGTAAGAAATGAAAAATGAATTAGATTTGCCCATTCCAAATAGCCTAGATAAAATCTTTTGGCGTAACCCAAAATTTTTGGATCTTTAATAAGAGATCTATTTTCTTAATGAAATAAACTTTCATCCCTCACAATATTATTTGGTGGAAGAAAAAAGACACCATTTAATTGGAGAAATTCATCAACTTGATATGAAAATTCGCTAATGGAATGATGAGTTGTTAACTCTCACTACCAAGTCTTTAACTAAGGCTTTAATGGTTGGAATTTGTGAATTTTTTCAGAATATTTCCATGGTTAAAAATAGCAAAAGCAAAGAGTTGATTTCATCAATGGCTCAGGGGGTCAAAAAAACTCATTTTTAAAGAGCCAATTTATGAAAATAACATGGCTAAAAAGCATGTTATTAAGCCAAACATGGTCAAAAATAATGTTCCATATAAGACTTGGGGGTTAAAAACCCATTCTTAGAGAGTCAAACCATGGACATAAGATGTCTATGAAGGATTGTCATAAGCCATTAATGGCTAAAATGGAACAGCCCATTAAGCCAAAAAATGATGAAACTCATTTAGAGGATTTTCTTAAGCCATTAATGGCTAAAATGGAACAACCTATTAGACTAAGAAATGATGAAACTCACATGGAGGATTTTCATAACCCGTTAATGGATAAAATAAAAAAACAACCCCATTTGTCAATGAATGATGAAAGTTTTTTTTTATCGACAAAAGAAATCTCTATTGATGAAAAAAAGATTACATCAATAAAGAGGAGCTTGGAGCTAGCACAAGTTCCAAGCTCCAGTTGGTGAGAAACCAACAAAGCAAACCAAAAAAAACAACAAGCCAACCAACAAATCAATACAGAAAAAACAGACCCAGAGGAGCTCCAATTGCTGTGTTGCCTCCAGAGTTAGACAGAGCTGCTGAAGCTTCCACAAAACACACCTCAATCACCTCAAACAGACAACCTAATCTGATGCAGATTAGAGACAAAATCATGAACAGAGTAATCAAAATGCAATACCCATTTGGCCCACAAAGTAATATGCCCCATTTGTCAGTGAATGATGAAAGTTATTTGGTCAAAGAACATGTTCTCAAGCCAAACATAGTTAAGAATGATGAACAATTTAATATTCATGAATCTGAATTTTTTGAAATTATTTGTGACACCCTAAATATTTAATTAATATCACAACCAATCACGATAATAATAATAATAATAACAATAATAATAATAATAATAATAGAATTGTAATAGTAAAATTAAAGTATAGTAAAATTAAATAATTAATTTTTGATGGTATTAAAAAAAAAAAAATGATATTTAATTAGGATTTTATTTTATTTAAATAAGTTAATCTAATTGTTAGAATATAACACACAAAAATCATAAAAAAAAAAAAAAAAAAAAAAAAAAAAAAAACACAACAAACAAACAAACAAAAAACAAAACAAAACAAAACAAAAAGAAAAGAAAAAAAAAAAAACAAATCAAATGCTTATTCGTAAAGGACAAGCAAGCAGCAAAAGGGGGGGCCACGTGGTGATACCACATGGTTGCTTGGAGAGAAAGGAAATGGTGCCTGAAAAGATATTTTCGATAAATGCAAGGAGCAAAATGAGGTGCAGTCCGTCCGTAAAAAGGGGAAATTTCGGTGAACGGAGAAGAAACGATGAGGGATTAACACTAATGTGAGTTGTATTATATCATGAGTCACCATATTATATTTTACGTGTGTTTTGAGTTGCCATAATTTATTTTACGCAATTTGTGTTTTATAAATTATATTAATATTTCAATTACGTTGATTATTTTCTGAATTCTATTTGTCTAAAATGAAACCCATGAATATGTTTGTTTAAATTTTTGAAATTATTTGACAATGATTTTATTAGGTGCCGTTTGGTAACACTTACGTTTTCAGTTTTTTATTTATATTTATAAACTGAAAACATAAACGTTACCAAACAGACCCTAAACAATTATGTTTTGTAAGCACCACCACGGAAGTCCCATGACTTGGGAGATTTAATTAACCATTGGCTTCTATTTGGTCACTTTGTGGCCCTCTATTTGTTGTGGATCCATTGACTGCTATTATGATTGTCACTCATGTGACCTTTGTTCTGTTTTGTTCTGTATCGTGGTTATAATTATTTGTTTACATAATTTCTGTAATTTAACTTCTGCAAATTAAATAATTTGTTTATTCAAATTAAGTTATGTTAAAGTTTTATCTTAAATAACTATCCATGGT